ATATAAATTTGGCGACCGTCAACCAGGACGCCAGACCTATCATGTCGCTACACCAACAGGCACGTCTCGACGCCGAATCCAGCAACCGCGCGCCAGTCTGCCATAAGTCTGAAACGTTATATGGGAACTTTTCTCCATTTTCCTGTACGTTTTATCGTCGAACGCCGGCCAATCGAGCAAGGTCGAAGAACCTCGATTGCCAGGGCCGCATCGCGGCGTCGTACAGTGCCGAAATCGGCGAACCCTATGTCTCCCCTCTTCCGAAGGAAGAGGCAAGCCAATATCGACCACGAGAAGAGTTGCCAGACCGGTTTCTTCCATACATAACCTTAACCATGTCCGCGCGTTTTCCCAGGTTTGTAACCTACTCGCAGAGGAATTCCAAATTCAAAAGGCTTGAGCAGAATTGGGACATTCAAAAAAGTGATCTTGAAAGACAATGAAGGAGCAGGGGGGGCGATCCCAATGCCATTGCGGCCGCTCTCAAGGAGTCACTGCTTTGCAGAGGCAATAGGGTTCAAGGTGAGGCGTGCTGGTCCTTTTTTGCGATCGTAGTACGTACTCAGCAAATGATTTGGAGGAAGCTTGGAAGCTTTGGAGCACGCTGCGCATCCACCAGCGTCTCTTTGCCCAAACATAGTATTAGGAGGCTCATGCCTGCTTGAAGACCGCAGTGCGGTACATGAAGTTGCGTTCAGTCTAAACACCTGGTGTCTTGTGACTCGTAAAGGTGCAATCAAAGTATGGCCTGTCATTGAGCCCTATGGGTCCACTCAATATCTTGTATGCATGAAGTGAAAGCTTCTGTAATGTTGCTCACCTTATTCTCAATCAATCCCCTTCTTAATTCGGCTTTAAGCACTTCGAATTCATCTTATGCTGGGAACAATGCTGCTCAAAGTTCACTCAAGAGCTGAATATGCATGGGCGCCTGTTGAAATTAGTTTCCAGTTCTTGCTTTCAGGCTTTGAGTTGCCACTTAAGATGACACTTTCGGTCGTCCCTTAATGTGCAATCTTATACACTCAATCCGCAGCAGTTACCAGTCGGATAATGCGGAAGCATGGACAGTTCTGCTGCTCACACCACTGTCCTTTGAACTGATGAAACAGTCAATGCCCATGCAGGTTGTGCTATGGCGGCGCCCGGGTTAGGAGCAGAGGAGCCCTCTCTGGGTGCTTACCGACTGGATCCGCCAGAGGTTCTAAGCCCAACTGAGCCCTGGATGTCCGGGGACTTGCCACAGCCTAGTTCCTCTCACAACCAGCCGGTGAACTTAGTGGAGCCTACGCTTGTCGATCCTCAAACAAGTAGTCAGCCACAAGAAGGAGAGGCACTCCCTGCAATAGGAAAGACCATGTCACAGACGCCCGTCAAAGGGGAGGGGCAATGTACAGACGCATCAGATGTTGACGAAGTTTGTCAGCCAAGGGCAGAGTCAGAAAGCTTACAGAGCCTTACGGGTCCCTCGGAAGCGGCAACAGAGAGCAGTCCTCTCAAGCTGTCCCGCCAAGAAGGGAGTCCTGATGTCATCTGGCCAAGTGAGCCTGTTGATCAGCACGTGAGCTCAGAAGCAGATGCGGTGTCAACAATGGCAGCAGTTCCTGATGCCACGAGGGGCACCCACACTGACCGGAACTTGGGGGCAGGGAGCAGCACTCTAGGCAGGTCTCCAGCAAGCAAAGGGGAGCAAGGGACACTGCAGAGCTGGCCCCCCCCTGAGAGGAGTCCGCTGAGCAAGCCGTCTGCAGCGAAGGCTACTCAAGAGTGGCGCAGGAAGAAAGGGAGCAAGGAAAATTCCCCGCTGCCTAAGTATAGAAGCAAGGGACCAAAGGGGGTGGTGGTCGGCCAAAGCGAGGCAGCGAGCCCAAAGCCAGAAAGGTGAGGGCCGTCTATACCTTCTTTGGCTTCTTGTTACACTCCCAGATGTACTGAAGCCTTAAAACACCACTTAAGCCTTCTCTGTTGCTAATACAGCAATGTGAGGTTGGTATTAAAAGAGATTGAGTCACAGGATCCAAGCTTAATCTGTCAAACTGTGTTGCATGTGTCTGCCAGCGTTAAAATTTTATGGGTTTTAACAAGCAGGTGTTTTTGACGTCTGCAGCATGCTCTTTCAACACAAGTACACGACAGATGTCTATCTCCAAGAACAACTTTTTATTGAAGACCAGTGCAAGGATGCTCACAGATAGTCTTGTATTATGGTGCTTGTAGATCTCCTCTGGCCGCCATGGACCTTGCCATGTCGCACCAGATGGAGAACCAGCTGCAAGGAGACTTCTACCGCCTCCTGGGCTTCTCCTCACCATCCGAGGAGGTGAGATAATCACCTTGACAATTCTCCTTGCTTGAACTGTCCTTTCGATTCAAGTCTGCCTGTTGATAGCCTGTTTGATTGTGCCATGGAGAATCTCGTCAAGGTTTTGGTAGCTCATTAGATTGGGGGTGTTTACCCTCCTTTCTGAGTGAGAGTTGAAAGATTGACCAGCTATCAACACGGAGCATGGTAGAAGTGTCAAGAGACAAGGCATCAGACGTTCGCTACAGTCTGCTCAGCACAAGACTTGTTGCAGGGTGCCGCTATCACAGCAATTTCTGTGGTTGAGTAAAGCAACTTGCATCTCAGAGCTTTCAAATGTATCTTCCACAGCAGCTGAATCTCTTGCTTGTCTCTGTTATGCTGGCAGTAAGAGAAGCTGGCAAGAAGTTGCTACAGAACAGTAGGCATCAATTGCGCAACCAAGATTCAGGAAAAAGGTCGCACGCACACCCAGCTCTTCAAGCCATAAACATAGGCTTACAGCATTCTTTCTTGCAGCTGCGGCACGCTCGGGAAAAGTTGCTGGAGCGCGAGAAGGAGGTGGCGGTCCTGAAGGACGCTGCTGTTGAGTTGGGCCGACTGAAGCAGGAGCAGCAGGCAGAGACAGAGGAGCTGGAGGCAGCACGGCGACGAGAAACTGCACTGAGAGTAAGGGCTTAGTAGATTCAGGGTTCTGAGATTTTGAGATTGAACAGTAGGTTGGCCTGCTAGGCTGGCTTGTAGCAAACATACGAGTCCAGTTCTAGACTACTTTTGATCCTTGCGAGTATCCTTGTATCTTCAGATGGAAAAGATGGAACAATTTGGAAATGTGTATTGATGAGAGCCTTCCAAGGGTTCTCAAACTCCTTGAACGCACTTTTGCACTTTTTTCTTGGGAAGGAACGCATCTTTCTTCAGAGCAGCCCTCTCTCTTTCCAGTCCTCCTTCAACTCAAAGGCGTTTAAAGACCTTTCTTGCTTCTGTTTCTTCGGCAAGCGTCACTGACCAGGCCCCTTCCATGTTTTCAGGAGGAGTGCTCCCGTGCTGCTCAGGCTCTCCGCAAGCAGATTGAGGAGGTTGCCCTCCTGCGCAACGACCAGGCCGTCTTTGAGCAGGCCCTTGCCGACGCAGACGACCGAGCCGAGGAGTCCGAAGCCCGGACGAATGCCTCCGCAGCGCAGGTAGAAGCGGCCGAAGAAAGGGCTGACGCGGCTGAGGAACGTGTCAAGTCGGCGGAAGAACGGGTCAGGGCCGCCGAAGAACGGGCAACAGTGCTTGACGAGCGCGAGCAAGCGTCCGAAGAGAGGGCAAAAGCGTCCGAGGCCAGGGCGGAGGAGGTAGAGCGGGCATTGCGGGCGGTCAGGGCTCAGACGGGCAGTGCTGATGTTGCAGCAAAGCTGCGGAGGGTAGAGGAGGAAAAGGCGCGCCTGGCTGAGATAGTTGAGGGGCTGGAGAGAGTGAACGAAAAGCTGAGGAGGGGACTGGCGGAGGCGGAGAGTCGGGAGGGGAAACTGAGTGCTGAGAAGAAGGCAGTCGAGCAGGAGAGAGCGACTGCCGTTGACAAAGTGAGCGGCTTGGAGAGTGTGGTTGCTGACTTTGAGGCAAAGAGGATGGAAGCGGAGAAAGACAAGGAGGCCGCAAATGACAAGCTGTTGGAGCAGGGTGCTGAGATTGCGGTCCTGAATGCGAAGCTCGTGGCTTCAGAGGCGACCGAGGGGGCTCTGAGAGCGGGGATAAGCGAGCTCGAAGAACGGTTGGCAGCAGCCGCTCAAGTGGAGATGACACTGAAGGGAAAAGTAGGCGAACTTGAACGGGCGGCACTTGGCAGCGAGGCGGCTAACGAAGGACTGCGAAGGGGCGTTGTGGAGCTGGAGGAAACGGTTTTGCGGATGCAGGCAAACGAGACGGAACTCCGGGATCGGATCCTAGAGCTCGAAGCGGAGGTGTCGGCAGGGGCGGAGAGGGAACAAGGGCTGGAGCAGCAGACCTGGGCGCTTCGAAGCGACGTGGCGCGTTTGGAGGAAGAGCTTTCCGGAGCGAAGAGCAAAATAGGCGCTCTGGAAGCGAGTAAAGCGGTGCTTGAAGAGGAGAGGAATGAGCTCCACATGGTTGCTTCGAAGCTCCGGGAAGAAGTGGCGCGTTGGGAAGAAGATGCGGTGCAGGCGCGAACGGAGCTTAGCGCGGCAAGAGCGGAAGCGGATAGATCGAAGAGCCAATGCGAGGAGATGAAGGAGGCGGCTCTCGGATACCAGGCGACGATCGACCAGCTTGAGAGCGAACTCGAAACTGGAAAGGAGAGGGAGTGTGTCCTGGAGGAGCAGCTGCTGACGTCAGCAGAGGACGCGGAACTCGACCGCGAGGAAAAGACGGTGCTACAGAAGGACTTGGAAGCGGCACGGCAGGAGGTCGCGGTTCTGACTGAGGAGATCACCGCGGTCGCAGCAAACTCGGAGGAGATGCGGGAGTCTTTGGAAGGAGCTGTAGCCGGAGCAGAAGAAGCGGAGGAGCTGCGGAGACAGCTGGCGGGGCTCATGGACGACAAGGAACGGTGGGGAGAGCGCTTGGAAGAAGAGGTGACGGCAGTCACGGAGGAGAGCGAGCGGCTGGCCGGCGAGATGGAACGGCTGACGTCACAGCTGGCGACGGTCGTGGGAATCAGCGAGAAGCGGAGCGGGGAGATCGAGGGGCTGGTGGAAAGGTTGGCGGCGGCCAAAGCGGAGAAGGGGGCACTAGCGAGCGAGGTTGAGAGGTTGAAAGATGCGCTCTCGCAGAAAGACGGGGAGGTCAAGACGCTGGGGGCGGCGCTTGCTGACGCCAGCAGCCAGCACGCTGAAGTCAGGGGCCAGCTCGGCAGGGCCAGCGGCTGGGCGCGAGCGTTGGCGGAGGCTCTACGTGCCATGCAAGTAGAGAACGACGAGGCGAAGGGGACAGCGAAAGAAACTGAGGAAGGATTGAAGAGGGAGCTTGAGCGCTTCGCAGAGAAGGCAGACGCGCTGGAGCAAGAACTGATTGCGACTAGAGCGGAGTGTTCGTCGCTTGGCGAGCAACTAGAGAAGGCGGAAAAGGAGCGCGCCCAGCTCGCAGCGGGACAGGAGAGCGCTGCGGAGGAAGTTGAGAGCCTCGGGCGTGCGCTTGACGACGTCAGCAAGCGTCATGTTGAGGAGGTGCATCGCCTGGATGGCGAGCTTCGTAACGTGAGTGCAAAGCACGGGGCAGCGAAAGCGGAACTAGAGATGGCGAGAAAAGAGTGGGGACGGGATGAAAGGCGGTTGGAGATGGTGGCGCAGGCTGCACTGAGCGAGCAATTCATGTGCAGCTTGGAAGCGACTGCTGTCAGAGATGAGGTGGCGGGACTGGAGAGCCGGTCGGCGGCCCAGTCTGAGGCTGTAACTAGAGCGACGAGGGAGTTCAAGGCCCTGGAGGGACAGCTGGCGGCGAAAGTGGAGGCGGTCATGAGGGCGGAGGGAAAAGCTGCGGAGTTGGAAAAGAAGCTGGCGGCAGAGATAAACGCTGTGACCAGGACTGAAGAAAGAGTGGAGGAACTTGCGGGACAGCTGGCAGCGCAAGTTGGAGAGGGCGAGCGACTGAAGTGGCACGCGGCGGGGCAGCTGCGAGAGGCTGAGGAAGAGAAACGGGGCGCGAGAAGAGCGAACGAGCGGGCCCAAGGCACCATGGAGGAGTTGCGGAGTGATGTGGAGGTTCAGAAGTTGTTCACACTGCAGCTAGAGACGGCCAGGGCGGACAGCGAAAAGACGGTCAAGGGTGTCCGGGAAGAAAAAGTGGCCCTAGAGCGTGATCTGATCGAGAAAGGGGCGGAGCTAGAAAGGGCCGAGACGGCATTGGCAGAGGCGCGCTCGGCGTGCGAGACGCTCGAGGCACATGCGGAAGAGGAGCGGAAAAATGGCTCGGAGGAACGGGAACGGACCTCCGCAGAGCTGCAATCGCTTGGGACGGAGATCGAGCATCTAAGAGCCGCTCTCAGCGACAAAGAGAGCGCGGTCGAGAACAGCGCAGCGGCGCTGGAAGAAGCGCGTGCGGCTCTGGAAGCGGAAGAGGCGCACTGGGCGGATGACGTGGCACGGCTGCGGGAGGAAGAAAGTCTGGCGGCTGCAGAGAAGGCGAAGTTGGACGAGCGGATTCCGGCGCTGGAAGCGGAGCTGGCGGAACGCTCGGCACAAGCGGAGAGATTGGCGGAAGAGCGGAACGCGCTGGAGGCGAAGCTGGCCGTTGTGACCACTGAGTGGCACAAGGTATGCCTTTCGAGTAACGCAACGTTGGGCTCGCCCTTCAGAACCGACTTAGTTTTGAACCCGTTTCTTCTGTCAGTAGAGTGATACGTAAAAGCTTCACTACTCCAATCTTTCTTTCGCAAGAATGCTTTTGCTAGTGTCGATCTGCGCCTAAACCAGCTCTACCTACTAGGCCAGCTCCGCCTACGAGATGACCTCTTTCGTTTCGTACTTACGGTTTCGACTTCCGGTCTTCTAGGTCTTAGACAGCACTTTTACATCCACTGTCATTTGCGAGAGACCAAAAGCCTTCGACCCTACAGAGGGACAAAGACTGGCGGGCCCGGTGTGGCGAGAATTCCAGCAATTTTAGAACGGCAAACAAGGTGTCAAGCCCAGCCTATTTACGATCCGCCTGAAAACACTTTCTTTTTGTTTACCGTCAACTCTACAACCGTTGCTTCCTTCTCAGACGGAGACCGGTCTGCGCTCCGCATTGGAAGCGGCTCAGCACGACGCAACCGCCGCTGAGGGACACGTGGCGGAAGTCGAGAGCCTGCGCGCCCAGCTGGCTGCCGAGCAAGGAGGACACGTGGCAGAACTTGAGAGGCTGCGTGCGCGGCTGGCGATCGAGCAGGAGCTGACAGAGCAGAAGGGGGCCGAGTGGCAGAGAAAGGTCCAGCAACTAGAGGTGGAGAAAGCGGAGGCGCTGGGGAAGGTAAGCGGAGTGCCCAATGACACGCGACGTACTTGCGCTGAGCACTCCCCGGACAAAGCTGACAGTTGGCTGTCGTAATAGTGCATGTCCTTCCGCTAGGTGCATACTTTCAAGGGAGTTCAGGTGACTGTGCTTTTGACTTCAAACGTGCTTTGCGGTGGTTCGCTTGTTTGCCATGAATGGACGCATCACACTGTATCCGGGCGAAGGCCGTGTAAACACTTTCGTCGAGCTGTTTGAGGTTCAACATTTAAAGAGCCATGCTTGCAGCATCTGCGCAAGTTTCGTCCCAAATTCGGTAGCCTTCTGGTGACCGTTACTAAACCGTTAAAGAAACTGACTTCTGGAAAGGTGCCTTCGGACACAGTACCGAAAGGCCAGCCCATATTCGTCCGTGCCCCTTTTGCCGTGAGTAACGGCCAGCCGAAAGACCGGAGCGAAAGGATTAAAACATAATCTCCATGTGTTTCGTTCTTTTTCTCCAGAACACGCTGGCCTTATTGGACACGCAATCCACCGTAGCTGAGGAGCTGCGTATCATCCGACAGGAGCTCAAGGGAGCGCAGATGGATGCCGCGGCAGCAATAGCACTCGTAAGCCCTATCAATTTTCATTCTTCTTATATTCTCCTACCTTTCTGGCTCTAACCGAGATTTGACTCTCACAATGTCTTCAAGTAAGTGTGCTTCTCGGTTTAAAGACAGCTCTCCGATCGCGGACTCCACCCCAAAACCCTAAAACCCCAAAACCCTTATGATGCAATATCAATAAAGCCTTGAACTGTCCTTCAGGTGTGTCCGCGGCTGAATCTCCCTCGTCCCCTAGTCGTTCTCAGTCAGCTGAAACCATATGGGCCTCCAAGCATCTACGAAGTGGTGCTTCGCCACCAAAAGAGACGACACGAGCGCAGTACCGAAGCGCTGAAGGTCATGAAAAGAGCAACGGGGCGAGTGCTGCTCCATTGAATTTCTCTGATGGACGATTTTGTTTTTGCAGGCGGAAGAGCAGCGGCTGGAGTGCGCTCTCGCGATTGCCGACAAGCTGACTCTAGTCGACCAGCTGCGCTCCGCAATGGACCTTACCAAGAAGGTGAGCAGCCCTTCAGAACATCGTACAGAAGGTTCCTATATAAGCAAGCATAAGTATAAAGCTTGGGATTTTGCATTTGTTGATGAAGACTACGCTGGTCGTTCATCAACCGGTAATCTTCGTGGTTGGATTGGCTTGCTCGGAAGTGGACTTTGCCTCCTCGTGATTGCCGTCGGCAACGGTAGACATATCAAGACGTCTTTCCCCCGCTCACTCCTGCGCTGAGTCGCTTCTTCGTCAGCCTTGATTTCGCTACTTCCATTTCTCGTTCAGTCGCATGACCTCCTGGTTGTCTTTCATCGCAATTTCTTCTCTCGTTTCTTGCACGATCTCACAACCAGGATTTTCCCTACAGTTGACGGCCCGTCACGACGAGTTGGTCGCGCTGACACAACTAGAAGCGCGGGTGGCGGCTGCCGAAATGGACAAGTGCCGGCAGCAGATTGAGGATGGGCGCGCACGGGAAGAAGCCCTCAAAGAACAGGCAAGGTCAACGCGCCAAAATGGTCTCGGTCGATCTCATCTCTTGTATTGCAAATCTTCCCTGTTCTTGCAGCATGTTGAAAATGGTTACTCTGTCGTCAAAGTGTATTCGCTTCCATTCTTCCTCGTTTGATGGATATGCGTTCTCCGTCGAAAATGACAGAGCTCGCTTGAGAACGCGGGCCCTTCTATCTTGGAAAAAGCGACCAAAATTTTTCAAAAAATCACATGCTCTCGCCCCCTTGGAACGATCCTTGCGCACCGTACGTCAGTACTCGCTGATTGTGGACCAGCTTTTTCGCACCGCTCAACCCGTGGACGCCGAGATCCTTCTTTTGAACAATAACATCCCCAACCTTTTGCTCACCGTCTGCCTTTGTGTGAAGTGTGCAATGATGCCGGTAGAAAGTCAACTCCCCCAGCCTTTTGACGCTCATATATGAAGTACACAATATTGCTGATTGCAGGTAAAGCTTCGCACAGCGGAACTGGCGGTTGCATCCGGCACACTGGCGGTGACAGAGAAAGAGCTGCAGCTGATCAAGGAGCAGTGCCAAGCGGCCGAAGTGGCGCTCGCTGCCTGCCAGGCTGAGGTGGGATCTTACCCCTTTCCTCTGCTTAAGTTCTCTGAAGACGTACGACACTCGATGAAGGATCATGCGAGTAGAACAATGCAGGTCTTTGCATGAGCGATTGTCTGCGCTGCACTGCGCCTGTGCTTCTTTGCTCTTGACTCCAGCTAGGACGCTTGATATTGGATGCTTCACATTTCTCGAAGCTCTAGAGTTGTGCAAAAGGCGAATTGTCATCCACGAAACGCCTCCTTCCGCCCGATAAACGCCTTCGAACATTGCAGCTGTCGAACGTGACGTCAGCTCTGGCGATCAGCACTGTCGAAGCAACCGCCCTGCGACAGCAGCTCGACAAGTGAGCTGTCTTCCCCCTGCCAGCGGCTCGGTTCAGTCTTTATTCGTGTGACGGGAAAAGCCGATAGCTCTGACCTGAATCCTCCGGTACCTTTCCATACAGCGCCGCTTCAACATCTCTCATAGCTCTTTCCGGTGCGTTTCTTGATTGCTAAAAGAAGAGCAATTGCATCCGAGTAACCTAAGATTTTGCCAAGACTTTAATGTCCGTCAGCCTAGCTGCAACTTTTGAACTCCACAGTTGGTAGCTACTCCCTTCTCACTTTCCGCATTCTGCCCAAATATTCAAGGCCCCAGCAAATGTCCAGCTTCATTCGTTCTGAAGGAGTGTAGCCAAGCGGGGTTGGATAAAATTGTGAACTGAATTTCGTTCTTTTCTGTGTAGCCTGCGCGTGGCCCACTCAGAGCTGGAGACCCGCTCTGCGGAAGCGCAGCGCGCTGCTACAGCAGAAGCGGAGGTACGTGCACACGAGCTGGCGACAGTGGAGGCGCAGGCCGAGAGCCTGAGGGAGGCGCTGGGGAAGCTCTCGCAGGTCAGCTCACTTAGCGAGTGTGTACTTTCTAGTTGTGATGTTCTCATCGGCTAGCAGCAGATTACGTCATTCGCTTGCCTTTTGTGTGCTCGCAGTGTTCTGCTCTCCTGACCGCCTACTGGAGTCAGAACGCAAAAGGTTGGGAGTCTTTCCGCATAACATGAGAACGATGAGGAATCACTCCCAAACCACTGCGTCTGCAGGGGCTTCCTGACTTGGTCATTACAATTTGGCTACTGTCGCTCCGTCGAAGCCCAATTTTCCGTCCAGACCCGCCAAAGCTCTAAGGATTACGGAGTTGAGTATCTTGTTCGGAAAAGTAATAACACACATAATACTTAGGTAGCGACTCGCAGTCTCTTCCATTGAGCTATTCTTGAGATTCACATTTGGTGTTATCTCTACTAATTCTATCCGAATTCATTTACAGCAACGGCTGTCCGTGACGGACGCCAACGCCGCCCTCCAGGCGCAGCTAGACGAGGCACGTGCATCGGACGTCGCGACACGTGGCCTTCTCGAGGACGCACGTGCCCAGGTCGGCGCCCTGGAGCGCGCGCTCGTGGTCGCGCAGGTGACGTCACTGGGTCTGGCACGTGCCTCGGTCACCAGCGCGGTTGGGGCGGTGAAAGCCACGTGGACGGTGAGGGAGGCGGCGATCCAGGAGAAGCACCGGCGGGAGAAGGAGGCGTGGGATGAGGCCGCAACGAGGTATGGCAATCCCAAGTGGCGAGTAAACTTTCGTAGTGACAGCTGTCGTTCGAGATTACCCAAGTATCGACTTAGCGGAAGGTGCTGTAACCAAGGGTGCTGTCAAAAACGAGTGTAAAACGAGAGAAGCAGGTAGGAATAGATTTCCGATACGGTGTGCGTTTTAGAAACGCGGGAACTGGCTGACTATATCGGGCGGAGTTGCAACCATGTTCGTGCCTCTGTATCAGAATTCGAAGATACAGACACCGACTTAGCAAAGCAAAGCTAGACATGAAGGAGAATGACGGAATCATCATGCCCCACTCTGCAGGAATGAGGCCGAGTTTGCCGAGCTGCGTGAGTTCGCGGAGGTGGAGGCGGGAGTGGTGGCAGAGCGGACGGCGGAACTAGAGGCGGCCGCCAGAGATCTGCAGGGACACGTGGCAGTCCTTGAGGGGCGCTTGGAGGCAGCACACGGCCAGCGTGATGACGTGGCAAGGGAGGTAAGGGAGATCGATGTCGCGAGTCATAATTAAAAAGTGGGCTGGTTGCAACAGTTAGTAAACGCGTGGGAATAGCGTGATAGACTGCAAACCCAATTAGTCCAGCCAGAACTCTTCGCGCTTGTCGTGAATCGGTGCAGCTCTGTAAACAAACACTCCGGGAAAAAAAAAAAAAAATGCGATGACTATCTTCAGTCTCGTCCCTTCCGACGTCATAAAGTACATACGCTGTAAGTGTAGAACCAATTTTGCGACGCGCTCACGAGTCAAGATATAGTTGGGGATCGGTCGTTGGGATCCCTTCTGACTGCTCGCTCGTCGTTTGCAGCTGGCGACTTTGCAGGCGGAGTCCGAGGAACTGCGAAGTCAATCTGCCGCCTCGATTGCCGCTGCAGAGATGCGACTGGTCGGCGCGATCCGGGCTGGCCAGGTAAGGCCGTTCTGGTGCTTTAGCTTGCTTTCCGTGCGGGTCCTCAGCCTGCGTCAATTAGCGAAGGGGTCATCGAACGCATTGCAGATGCAATGGACCCCCTCTGCGTAAGACAACGTCCATTCGTGACATTGGCGTTTGAAAGGCCCGCTAAGCCGTTTGTTGGTCTGAGACAATGTGAACTACGGACCTCGTCGTTGTCCCTTCGTTTGGTAACCACAACCTTACATCATTCTCCCCGTTTCGCGGACTTCTTTTTGGTACGGCCAATGTCAAAGTCTTCAATTGTGCAAGATTCTGATTCGGCGCTCAATTATTGATACAGATATCCGTGCTCCTTCCGACGCAAAACTGTCTCAGCTGATCCAGACTTGAGCTCGTCACGACCATTTCCAAAATACGAGGATCTCACCCCTGACAGAGCACACCTGAATGGAAACCACTTCTTGATTCCGTACTTGCAGGACAACCTGGCCGCTGCCGCGGCCTCGCACGCCGCCTTGGTCGCCACGCTGCAGTCTGAGATGGACCAGATGTCTGAGCTCCAGCTGGCGACCGCGGCGACGGCCCTAGCGCTGGAGGAAGAGAAGGACGCGGTGAAACGACAGCTGGCAGCCGCGGAGGGACAGCTGGCAGCGCTGAGCGGAAACCTGAGCACGTCGACGGATAAGGAGCGCGAGGCGGCCGCGGAAGTAGCAGCGTGCCGAGAAGAGATTGAGAGGTGAGGACTGATACGGTACATGAAAAATCCCGCAACGGTTATCGTCCCTATTGAAGCAAAAGACATGCCGCTTTGCGAAAAGCACGTGATGCTTGTTTGCAGTGCATCAAAATGAGGCCTCAAGGATAAGAAGTCCTGACTGTTATGGAAACCCGGAAAACTTTCGAGCAAGGTTTCAATTTGGTACAGGCTGCGTCAGAACCTCGTGGCAGCAGATGAGGCGTCCCAGGTCCTCGCCAGCACGTGCAAGGCAAAGGACGAGGAGATTGCCGAGCTGCAAGCACGACTTGCTGACGTCACAGAGACGCTTAACGTCACCCGGGGACAGGTGGCAGAGAAAGAGTCGGCGGCGGAGGAGGCACGTGCCGAGAAGCGGGCGGTGGAAGCACAGCTTGCCGCGTGTCAGGCGGAACTGAGCCGCACCGAAGGCGCTCTCAACGAAACCCGCCAGTCGCTGGAGGACTGTGTGCAGAAGCTCGAAGCGGCGGAGGAAACGCTAGAGGCGGCGCGAGACGAGGTTAGCGACATAACCGCTTCTAACGATACTCTGGCGGGTGAAAAGACAGAGGTTGAGAAACGGTTAGCTCGAGATACGGCTCTGTGGGAAGCACGGGAAAGGGAACTGGTGGAGAATCTAAGGGGCGCGGAACAGAAAGCGCGGGAGATTGAGGAGGAGAAGGCGAGCTTACGTCAGCAAGTTGAGGACCTGATGTCGATGGAAGACACGCTCAAGTCGACGCTGGAGCGGAAGCGGAAAGAGGAGGCGAAGCTTGGGGAGGTTAGGGAGCGGGTTAGGGAGCTGGAGGCGGAGCTTAAGAACGTGACGGAGAAGGCGCGCGAGGCGGAGGCAGAGAACCGGGCGCTGAAGCAAGGTGTGTTCGATGACTTCGCTAAAACTGCTCTCAAATAAACGTTCGAAAGTTTGATCTGAACCCAATAGCCTGGCACCTGTCTAGATGCTGCTTTGACGTCAGTTCAAAGCAATCGAAAGGAAGAACCAGCTCACGACGCTTCAGTCAAGGAAGGGCACATTCTGGGGTGTATCTGAGCAGCGCCTTTTTTGCGAAGGGTCACATTGCTTGAGTTCCGACATCAGCGGCGCTCCTTGGATGTTAGTTTTCAATCTGGGAGCGCCAGGACGTAGAGCAAAGGCTACCTTCTCATCTTGGTCGGACAGTCTGCAAAACGTTCTCGAAGAGTGGTGACGCGTATCTAGCTCCAGCGGTTCGTACAGCAACCCAAGCCTCATGCTACTCCGATTCCCTCAAATTTCTCACCCTCTTCTTCAAGCTTCAAAAATGACGATTTTCGCAAGATCTGTCTCCGAACAAGGCGTCCGTTCCGGACCCGTTCAGTGTACTCACAATTCCCTCAAACTCTGCAGTGCGCGAGCTGGCCGCGCTTGACGTGGCCACTTTGACACTTGAGCGCGACACGGCGCGCACGGCCCTCGAGGAGAAGGAGGGCGCGGTGCGCGAGCTCGAGAAGAAGGCCGCCGTGCTCACCGAGGACGTCATGAAGCTGGAGCTCGACAACGACCGGTGAGGCGCCGCATTTGTGGAGTTCGTGCATTACTGCTCAAAGTCCGGCTTTCAAGCCGGAGTCTGTGCTTTGGCCCCAGATCTGCCGACGTGCAACACGTTGAACCGCCAAATCTGATTCATGGAGGGCGCTTACGCCTTCTCTTTGTGTCCTCAAAGGCCCCTGAATGCTATGATGCTTAACCAAAGCCGGCTAACTGCGATACCACTTGCCTGTCTAGCGTCGTTGCTTATGGTCAACCGATTGCGCTTGATAGTGTTTCAGGGCGCTTTGAACCTGGACGGTTGCAGTCAACTTGCTTAGTATGTTGTGCAGTCCAAGCCGACTTGCTTGGCAGATGGTCAATGCAACCCTCGTGTCGGGACCACCGGGATCACCGGATCTGGTTTGTGAGCAAACGTTTGAAATGCGAAAAGTCCTTCTTTCTACCAGACCTGACGGTCTGATTTGGACCGATCATTCTGGGGCTGATCACTGAACATAACAACTGATCACAATGCTATCCCCTTCGTGTACTGCCACGTTGTAGGCCGGAGGACGAGGTGACGAAAAAGAGCGAGGAGGTTCGAACCCACCGCTTGATGGAAAGTGGTTGACCAAAGTGGAATAACCGAGTTTGTTGACTTGCCCGTGTTGCCACGTGGCAGGCTGGAGGACGAGGTGACAGCGAAGAGCAAGGAGCTGGTGGCGCGCAACCGCGAGATGATGGCGGTCGCGGCCAAGATGCAAAAGTCGTTCCTCGACGAGAAGCGGCGCCTTGCGGACGACTGTACCAAAAGGTGACCGCTCACGTCAAACCTGCGAATCTGCCATTCTATGGTTTGAGAAGGAATTGTTTTTGAGTTACTTCTGATTTGGTTACGTGTTGTAGTGAGTTGAGTGTACGTTGCTTATACGTCATCACGTGTTGAAGCTGGTGGTTGTAGCACGTCTCTAAAACCGCCGAGCATCAACATGAGCTTGTTGTGAACTTTTGCAGAAGTTCCGGAGTAAGCTCTCGAGATCGAACATCTAAGGGCAGACTGTTTACCAATTCGCTACGAACTAAGACTGTATTGATGCGCTTTCACAGGCTGGCGCTGAAGAGCGAGGAGGTGCGAGCCGCGCAGGCTGCCCTGGAGGCGGCCAAGACGGCGAAAGAGGACTGCGAACGCAAGATCGCAATCCTGATAGAGAACCTGCGGAAGGCAGAGCGTGAGGTCAGGCCGCGACTCCCGCCGATAATGTCTTTCTTACATGCAACCTCTTTGAGGGTCCAGTTGTGCTTCTTAATGTATTGTAAGGAGAGTTTCCTCTGGATCTATTCTAGGAGGTTTATCTTCTGGCGTTTGCGTGCACTGCAGCTTTGAATTAGACAAGTGGACATGAATCTCCGGGTCCGTTTATTGACAGAGTCTCTTTTGGCGTCTGCGAGACTTTGTGACTTTCTTCTGGCGCCTGCGAGGCAGTTAATCTTTTAGCGGCATACAATCCGGTCGAGCTAAGTAACTCGATTGACTGCTGTGTAGTTCGAAAAGGTCGGACACGCGCCGCGGTACAGCCGGCCATGCGCGTTGTTCTGGATTCGAAGACTGTAGGTTGCCTTTTCTAGAGATAATATGTAGATCAGAACCGTTGAGGCCGCCCAATAACAGCGGTGTTCACAGGATACCAATCTGACTAAAAGCCAACGCATGCTTCCCGCTTGTCGCCCAGGTGGAGCGTCTAGGTGACGAGTGTGACGGCATGAATGACCTCATGGCGACTGTGGATGAGGCCTTTGACTACCACTCGGCCACGCTGACGCAGCTCAAAGGGGTGAGTTGCGTAATGGCGCGGGCAGCAGACCGATAAAAGCTGGTGAAAGAGTCCCCGGTCTAAGATTTAAGTGGTGGTTTGATGCATCGTATCTCGATGGGCTGTGAAGGACATCCGTGCATTTGGAGAGCTCACGGTCTACGCAGTGCTTTGGATCATCCCAATGGTGCAGACAGTCAACATGGGTTGTTGGTTTTATTTTGCATGCTCAGAGCTTTTGTGATCATAAAAGGTCCCTTCTTTGGATGGACGGCTAAACGTGGCCCCAGGGGAGCCCAGATACTTTGTTCAAGTGAGGTTCGGATAATGCAGTCGCACAACCAGACGATGACGGTCCCAACATCGGCCTCTTTTGATCTCGATTCGGTAACAACGATCAAATTCACATTCGTGACTTCCTTTTTCCGCTGACTAAGCAGAGGAAGGTTCCTAATTGCAATGAAATGTACGGTTTGCAGATGCGGGCTCTTGCCAACCGCATCAAGAAGGAACAACAGCAGTCGTCGGTGTCATAACCCTGCTGATTTCGAACGGCACTAGACATGTGCTGAAAAGTAGTTCCAGGACCAACATAGAATAGGATTTCATACTATCCAAGTATCGTAGGGCATCGGTTGCAGGAGTCCGGTCGTACACCCAGAGCAAGAGCAGACTAGCAAATACGTTTGGCAATCAGAAGTACTGTACACGTCGAGTTTTGAAACATTTATTTTTTGGCTAAAAACTTTCATGATAACTTCTATCACCAAACTTGATACATTGCACTTCGTTGAGGTTATTGTGCTTGGTGAATGATGGTCGTTCTTCGATTTTCTTCCCAAATTTCACTTGTGCAGACGAAGTTGCGTCATTGTTGGATGAGCAACACCGCCAGCATAATGTAATTTATGAGATTGCAATTTCCTCAGTCATGAGGGGTTCTTTCATTCATACACTTGGTAGCAAGGGAATGAATATGCGCTTTGCCCAACCTTTTACTATTGATACGCAGCATCCAACAGTTTTGAAAAGTTGAAAATATGTGCATGACGTCTGAGCCTATGCTATCTGTGCCCAAGTCGGATCGTCGAAATGCTTTGGATGTGGCCCTTGCAGTTCGGGCCCCACTTTTGATTCGTCTGACATGCACTCAAACCGATTATATCATGATCCATTTGTCTGGATTCGACCCGATGCAGATCTCGGTCTTGGACTCACCTGCGTCAGTGAGAGGTATTGATTAAGTCTCGGTCTACTTTCAATCTGTGCATATGAGCGAATTCAGCTGGCGCTCAGCGTCTTGCACGAAGCATGCGCCCCTGGTCGTTTGCAAGCTATCATGCCCTGGCCAGCATGATCGGGCCGGCCACATGCCGGGCCCGCAAAGAACCCATGAGCAGTGTGCGAGCAGCTGAGCCGTAGTGCTTAGAACATTTACATTGCTAATTCAAGCCACGGAAATGCAATGACATGGCGGCCTTGAAGAGCCACTAACTGAGTAACATTGACATGATCGAAGAATGTCATGATCATGCCCGTGCTGATGCATTCAACTTGCCAGAGCTTCGTACACACCCAATGGAAGGAAAAGATGGTGAAACTGCAAAATATTTATGTTCAAGCATTCGAACTTTTATTGGAAGGGGCGCGGCCAGCGCTTGATAGTGCAGAACCTGTGCAGAACCGGCCGCCGAGCCACTAGGTGGGTAGCTGGACTTGCTGATGGCGGACAAGAACCCTAGAAAGCGAATGTATTGTAACGCGTCGGTAACGTTACAAGTCCCCCAGTACTCAGCGTTACACTACAGGGCCACCGCCATTTTCGTGCCGATCCTAGTCAGCAACTGTCTGCCCTGTCATCATGATCAAGTCAGCTGACATGCACTCTGCTAAGTTGAAAGCTTCCAACTCGGAAATTATTGAGTTGCGAGGGTGGAGGACGCCCAAAAGCACACTGTCAATAGAAGCAGCTCGCCTACAGAAAAGGAGGCAGCCTTCTGCAGTAATGGCTCCTTCTGCTGACACCAGCGCAGCGAGCTCTCGCATTGCGGTTCTTTCCAGCCATTTGCGTACCTCGTCCATCAGTGAAGGTCAATCTGCAGAGCACCTCGTGCCTAGGACAACTGATGCGCAAGCGGAGGTACGCCCTACCCCGGGGGGAGGAAAAGGCAAGCTGCATGTTACTGACGAGAGGACTGGAAAACAATATGCTCTGGAAATCAAGGACGGGGGAGTGGTGACAGCAACTGATTTCAAAAAGGTGTGTGCATGGAGGCTGCTCCTCTTTGAAACTTATCCACGAGAAGTTAGCACAGTCTTTTTGATTTCTGAAAAATTGTTGCTTTCTCTTCCTTCCAAAACCCCTTCATTGATTGTTGTGCTTCAAGAGTGTTGCGTGATACGTGGAGAATGAGTCTTGGACTGATAGGATTCAATGTCAGCCGGGTAAAGAAAGAATATCTTCAAGCACAGCGCTAGCTGCAAGGTGTAGACGGGGCGTAGCGTTTTGTGAAAACGACCTTTACTGATACTGGCAGCAACAGCAGAATGCTGTCGCTATAAGCGGGAGTCCTGAGGTTTGGCAATTTTATGCACGAAGAGCTGACAACTCTCCAATTACAGTGCAGCTGCTAGCTGGTAAGCATCTTGGCTCGCTCCTTATTGGGGCGATCATCTTTACGAACTCTGACCACCTTGCATTTATCACTGGCATCTCTCTCGACGTTCATTGAAATAGTAAACAATGAAAACTTTTGTGGACTGCACAGATCAAGGCGGGTGGTGATGGAATTGGGCTGACTCTGTTCGACCCCGGCTACATCAACACGGCTCCAGTCAAGTCGTCCATCTCGTACATCGATGGCGACAAGGGGATTCTCCGATACAGGGGCTATCCGATTGAGGAATTGGCAGAAAAAAGCACCTTTTTGGAAACAGCATACCTCCTGTGTAAGCTATTCCTTCAGCTTGAATTCAGAAGAAGTTTCGCCAAGGTGTTGCTCGTTGAGGACTAAGGGGCAATTAATTTTTGAGGCAGTTCCTATTTTTGGAATCCTTGTAGAAATAGGGTTTTCACTTTTGTGGACTTGATCCTGAGTACTTAAAAACTTCGAAAGTAACCAGCTTCTTGAATCAGGTTCATGGATAGGTTGCTTTCTGACCAGCATTGCATCTACTCCCTGCTACACATTGAGAAGTCCCGTTGTTTGCCGCAGTGTATGGCAACCTGCCTTCAGCTGCACAACTAGCGAACTGGGAGGATGCGGTCATGAGACACTCCGCTGTGCCGGAGGGAGTGTTTGTGAGTTAATCAAGCACCCTTACTCCTGTACGTCTTAGCGATGCGATTGGCGGTACAGTTCTCGTGGGACGTGGCAGGCATTTGTCTGCAACTTGGATTCCTGTTCATCAATGTGGATGCCTGAGTTCCTTGCTCAATCAATGATGGACTAGCAAAATCAGGCGCCTAAGCCCCTTTGCCCCTGCTTTGTTCTTTGCGTTGAAAGAGTTTTTTCAAGCCAGGAGGTCATTTCGAATGTTTCATTGAACGACGCCTCCACCCCTGCCACTTCAGGGTGGTTAGCCCCCATTGTAATCTTTCAATTGGGAACTGCTATGGAACAACTGAACTTGCGCGATAGGTTTCGCAGAGGCCATTTGTCCCCCATACACCTGCCCTGCACCACATATTCGAAATCTCATATGAAAAACGAGATCAAAGAAACAACATTCTTAGGCCACTCAATTACCTGCCAGGCATCTATTGACGCTCTTCCTCACGACGCACACCCAATGGGCATCCTGGTGGGGTCCATCTGCGCCCTTTCAGCTTTCCACCCGGACGCCAATCCCGCAATTCAGGTGCGCTAGCATTTTGGAGCTTAACTTCTTCTTTTGTGATTCTTCCTTTGTTGAGTCATCTCCAAAGGCCCCCAGATGTACTGTCCTAAACAAGGAGGTCCGTTTCGAGTACAAGATTCTTGCTGACAATCATAAACTTACTCCACATGAGCCTTGTAGTCAGAAATATAGCTCTGGTATCGGGAATAGAACTGCGTTTGTCCCACATCGGTTCTACTTCCAGTTCTTCGGAACATGTGAAACGCTTGAGTTGCTTGATTCCAATCAAAGGGTTCTCAAGATAGTTGAAGGAAAAAAGGCCACTGAGAGCAGCGAAGCGCCTGCCTTCCTACAACGTATTCTGGCTTACAGGGCCAGGATCTGTACAAGAGCCGCGCGGTGCGTGACAAGCAGATTGTGCGCGTGCTGGGCAAGGTCCCCGCAATGGCAGCCGCTGCATACCACCGCGCAACGGGGCGCAGGGTCTCTCCGCCCGTCACCGAGCTTACCTATGCTGAGAACTTTTTGTACATGTTGGATGCCATGTGAGTGAAGCTACTCCAGATTCTCCCAGGTTGCGTTGTTCAGTGCAGTGGCAAAAGAAAGCTGCATTTGAGTTAGCCGTGGAGGGATCGGCAAAAGTGTTGCAAAGTGCTCTAAGAATTGCGTGTGAGAAGCAAACGCCCGAAACGTTACAAGTGGACCCCTCAGCTGTCCGTCTGGCGAAGTGAGCCGCTAAAAACGTGCAAAAACAGGCACAGAACGAGCAAACGAACGACCTTGCAACAAGTCAGGCTGCCCTAGAGTTGCAAAGCCTTTTAGGCCGCGCTTTTATTCTGATGACATCGGGGTCTGTGTGCAGGGGCGACCGGTCGTATCGGCCGCACCCCCGCTTGGCGCGCGCTCTGGACATCATGTTCATTCTGCACGCAGAGCACGAGATGAACTGCTCCACCGCCGCAGTCAGGCACCTCTCCTCCAGGTACGACCCTTAAGATTTTGAGGATTACGATTATAAGTTTCAAAGCTCTTGTCAACGATCACAAGGGGATTCCTGCCACTCCGCTCGGCAATTCTGATGGGCATTGCAGAAATGGGTGTTAACTTGAGCGATCTAGAAGAATTGGTCTTCTGAAAATTTTCAGCGCTTTTTCGAGCCGCTTGACGACATCGCCAGACAACGTTGTCCAATCGTCACGATATTTGGAGTCACATGATCGACCGCGCAGTTCTCTTTGCCAGGACGAGCTCTGCAGCGGATGTGTCCCTCAAGAAAAGTGTGTCGAAGGCAACTAGTCTTGACGTACCACTCATATCTTCCGTTTCTGGAGAATCACCTCTGATCAAATGCTCCCGATGTCAATCTTCGGCCAACCCTAGCTCGTCATTCTGCCGTCCAAACAATATCATTGTTCGTGTCCAAGTGTCGGGCGACATCATGTCGGCTGAGCGCTCCTTTTGAAGTGTGCAGCGGGGTGGACGTTTACACGGCCCTGGCGGGTGCCACGGGCGCCCTGTACGGCCCGCTGCACGGGGGCGCCAACGAGGCGGTGCTCAAGATGCTCAGCGAGATTGGCAGCGTGGACAACATCCCCGACTTTGTGGACGGCGTCAAGAACCGGTAAGCTGATTACTGCACCGCGCACGCTGTTGCGGATTGAGGTCAGCCGGAGCCTGCTGCCGGTGGGTTTGGCGGCTGTGTTCTTGAAGTTGGTGCAGTTCTTGGACGAGGGCGTCGGGAGTCGATGTGTCCACCTCACTGTCAGGGCGACGTGGGGGAAAGATTTAGTTTCTTGACACTGCAGAAAGTAGCATGTGCATAAGGCGGCGACGAGCAGCCGCGATTCGTGGTTTCTGGCCGCTAACCTCAGTTGCCTCCCTGTACGCCCTCTTTAACCACAGCCGTAATCTCCCGTTCTCCCGGGCGGATCTTTCGGTCTCAGCGACAGCGCCCACTTGGTCGGGATAGCGACGAGATTCTCGTTGAAGCTGAGCGGCTGATGTGTCTGCAGGAAGCGCAAGCTGTCTGGATTTGGCCACCGCGTGTACAAGAATTACGACCCGCGCGCCAAGATTATCAAGAAGCTGGCGGACGAGGTCTTCTCCATCGTCGGGCGGGACCCGCTGGTCGAGGTAAAGGCTCAAACCATAGACCGTTACAGGGGTTGCTACGGAGTTTGTGCTAGACAGCTGTGGAGAAAGGGACGTTTTGTCGACGCAAAGCATAATGAAACGCCGGGGCGCCGCGATTTCACGAACTTAAGCAGGCAGCCCAGTCGTACGTTTCGCTAGATTGATTGGAAGGCAAGCGGTGCCAAAACGAATGCAACGGTCGTTTCTCTGTTTGTCTGAAACGTTGCAATGTCCTCCTACTGTCTGGTTGCACTCCCTCCAGTGATGGATTCACCAAACCAGCTATGGCGGACCGTCTGTGCTCAAAGCTCGGAAAATGCCGTTGGGTTCTCGCCCTTGCTTCTGGTCTCATTCTGTGCATGCGTGTGCAGGTGGCCGTGGCATTGGAGAAGCATGCTCTCTCCGACGACTACTTCGTCAAGCGCAAACTGTACCCCAACGTCGACTTCTACTCGGGCCTCATCTACAGGTGCGCTCGCCGCCTGTGCTGCTGCAACTTGATTTCTTTTGAAGACTCACTTGGCAGGTTGACTGTAAGCTGCGATCATTCTGGCAGTTCCAAAAGTTTTGTCGATCATCTTGTGCTTGGGAATAGGGTCCGCTCAAACGGCTAGAAAGGATTGAGGATACTTCAAGAATTCATCCAATCTCCTCCCGTTGCATCCGATATGTGAAGAAAAGCTTAGTGCGGGATGCCTGTGAAGGGGAGAGGCTCGGCTCCCCACCGAACGCCTTCAGCGGTACGGGCCATCTCGCGGACCAGATTCTGAAAAGCTTTTTGGGCCTGTCTGCAGGGCGATGGGCTTCCCCACCGAGTTCTTCCCGGTCCTCTTCGCCATCCCGCGGATGGCGGGCTATTTGTCACACTGGAAGGAGTCTCTTGACGACCCGGACACCAAAATCATTCGGCCGCAGCAGGTGATTACTAGACGCGCGAATCTTATGCCCAATTCACATGCTGTCCAATTCCGCGTGATCAGGCCAGTTCTATCCGACGTGGCAGCTCCACAATCACCGGGACTCGTATGACACCATTCTTGGAGACTGAGCAAAACCGAGCTCGGTTCTTTTGCGAGAATGCGGGACGTGGTCGAAACTCGACGGACACTTGACCAGACTTCGAGCTGAGTTCTTCCAGATTCGAATGTGGTCGACGGAGGCGGATTTTTGAAGAATGAAACACCGTCCGATCTGCATCTCAGTTTCTGCCAAAACCAACGGAAATTCAAAAACGCAGGTGAATTGCGCAATAATTTTGACTTGAACATGTTCGCAAAATCCTCTGCGTTTGAATGCGTGGACGTAGGCTAATAGGTAAGCCTTAACAGCATCACAAAACCCGCCGAACCTTTGAGTGCTTCGCTTCAAACTCTCTGCCCATGCCATATCAGTCGCCAAAATGACTTACCGTTTTGCTGACATGGAATCTTCTATTGACAGGTGTATACGGGCGAGTGGTTGCGCTCGTACGCCCCTGCATCAAACCGTCCGGATGCGGCAGGTGGAGTCGACAAACCGGGGCCCATTCACGCCTCAAATGCTACGAAAAGACGGTTAGCGGCATTCAAGCAAGGGAGTACGTGATTTGTCATATTTGCGCGTCTTTGATATACATAGGAAGAGGTAAGAGAAAAGTTGGCCTGGCACTCGGCCTCATCACCAGATTACATGCAGCTTAGTCGCTCACCGAGTACATAGACACGTGGCCAAATGGCAACAATGACCAGGTTTAGTAACCAGAATTTATGATGAGAATCGTTTGACTATTCCGGCCTCAGCTTGATTATGTAGAACTTGAAGCAGCGGAATCATTTGAATGTTTGCTTGCATATTGGGGCCCACAGCTCAGTGATCGGCTCGTATTCAATCAAAAGTACGACCTCTAGCTGTAACTCATTTTCAGCACCATAATGGTTTTCATGCCATCATGGCATAAAACCCTGGAATCATAAGATACACCTCAGCCTTTTAGAAACGTACTAACAAGTGCATGTTTGGCGGTCACTGTACGTGGTCACTGTTGTGTAGCACGCCATACAACGACCGTACTTAGGCTGTCACATGGCTCGAGCTCGCAATTTGATTGATCAGGCATGACGCTAAAAGCCCGGCCGTCGGGCCGGGCTGCGGCGTGCGTGCAACCAGCTAGATTTGGTGCCCACACATGCCAACTTGCCATCGCGTTGTTGAAGAACGTCGCGACCCCGCCCCTAACTCGGAGGCCGCAGAAGCCATCACTGCCAGATTGGAAAGTCGATTCGTTTGCAGGATAAGGTGGTTTTGACCGTAGATTTTCGTATCGACGGTGCGCGGAACCTCAGCCAAATGTTGGAGTTTCGATGGTGTCAATTGCGCCCGTTGTGCACGAAACTCCGGGCAAATCGAACCGCCGTACGTAACGACATTGAATATTGGCCACGCGGCGCGCGGTGAACTTGCCAATTTTACAACCATGTCAGAAAATTCAGAATGGCCGTACGGTCGACCAAATTCGACGGTCAAGCCTCTGATTACAAGATTATTGCCAAGGTGATGGCTGAAAGAATGAAATTAGTTATGCACAAACTGGTTTTAGACGACCAAACTGGCTTTGTTCCTGGCAAAAACATCAATCAAAACATCATCACATTTTTGGAAGTTCAGGATCATATGCATAATGCTCAGAAGCCAGGCTTCGCTTTTCTTGCTGACATTGAGAAAGCCTTTGATTCTGTTTGCCGTGATTTCCTTAAAGCCTCCCTAGTCAAACTCAACTTTGGGGACTACTTTATCGCATGGTTCCTCACTCTTCACAACCGTTCAACCGCAAAGCTTATTATCAACGGCTTTTTATCCAACAGCTTTGATATTTCCTCAGGTGTTCGGCAGGGTTGTCCATGGGCCCCGTTACTATTTTTAGCAGCCACTGAGCCACTGGCCTA